GCACCCTGGTGTATGCACACCACCCACCCACACGTGTGCACCCTGGTACATGCACACCACCCACCCACACATACACAAAATAAATAAAAATATGACATTTTAAAACTGAAAACCTTTTGTTTTTTCTTCCATACATCCCAGAGTAGGGGTTTTGTGCTAGTGATGAGGTAAGAATTACTGTTTGATTTTAGGAAAACAGGATCTGAAGCCTGATTTTTCTCACTGATCCATATCTCATTGACATTAATATAGTGTATTCCATGTGTTCAACCATTCTTCCTTCTTCTAGTCGTGGATTTTGAAATTTCCTGCCTCCATCTATCCTCTCTTCCTATTCCTTTCTGAATTTTGTCGCTGCGACAATTGCATAGGGAAGCAAGATTATGCTGCTAGTTTTTGAGATGTGCACAGATTGGGTGTGATGGTGCACATGTGTAATAACAAAACCTGGGGACCTGAGGCAGGGGAATTCTGAATTCGAGTTCAGGCTTGGTTACTTGGTAACTAAGATCCTTTCTCAGAGAGCAAAAATGAGTTGACTAGGTGGCTCAGCAGTCTAGAGCACTTGCTCTCAGGGAGGTCCCAGGTTCAGTTCCAAACATGGCTGCTGAAAATCATCCATAGCTCCAGTTCTAGGAGACCCAGCATCCTCTTTTGTCCTCCGCAGGCTCTAGGCATGTATTGGTGTGCATACATACATGCTGCTAAAGCACTCACACATATAAAATCTTTTTTATTTTTCTCTTTTCTTTTCTTTTCTCTGTAACTTTGGGACGTGTCCTGGAACTAGCTCTTGTAGACCAGGATGACCTTGAACTCACAGAGATCTGCCTGCCTCTACCTCCTGAGTGCTGGGATTAAAGGCGTGCACCACCACCAACAAGACAAAATAAATTTTTTAAAATTAAGAAAAAACCCAGAAGCTACAGAGATGGCTCACACAGCATAGCACTTGCTGTAGGAACATGAAAGCCTGAGCTTGAATCCATAGCACCACACAAAAGCCGGTCGACAGTAACAGATTGCTTCTGTGTCCAGCTCAGTGAAGGATGGCAGAGAAAGACACATGGCATTAACTGCTGCTATTGTTATTAATGTAATAGTAATAATAAATGTGAATAGTGAAAATACACATAGCATACTTCTTAGAGCCATGAGCATTCTTAGAGGCTGTGTACCAACCTGTTACCAAGGACTACAATAATTAAAGAGAGACAAGAAAAGAAGGAAAATGACTTTACTTACACACTTGTGGTTTTTTTGCAAAGTGTAATTATAATTTTAATTTGATTCATTTTAACTTAAAATGGGTACAGATGATACAGCAAGCTAATGACTAACCTAATACCAGCCGGTTGGTTTGAGGAGTCACTAACCTGATCACTCAAGTCATTTCTGCTGCCTCCTCCCAACCCCAAATTCCTTGCAGCTTAACATGGGTCTTCGTTTCAGTCAGCAGCTGACAACACAAGATGACGGTCTTTGCAAATACTGAGAAAATCATGACCTTGATAAGTAAAGGTGGAGGACTGCTCAGTCCCAAGCAAAGCCACTTAGAATATGTCTGTGACATGCTTTTTGTTAACGATTGGAGAAGAAAAATGTCACTTTTTATATTTTTTGTTCCAAAGTTTCAAAGGATGTGATAGCGCAAAATAATAGAATTTTGCCAGAAGGTCACACGCCAACACTGCCACAAGTCAATATTTGTTAACTTTTGTACTGAAGATTATGGAGTGGCTAGAATTATAACTTGATTTTTCTTAAATATAAGAAGATAAGATTATTTCACAATTTACCTTTTGTTCAAACATTTTTAGAATATCTTTGCTCATTATTTACTATCAAATGTAAGTCTTCGTTTTAGTTAGATTTACTTTATTAGTTTACTTAGTACATAATTAATCTTAAATATAAAGGATCTCTTGAGAGATACAGCTTTTTCTGAGTCTGTGCTATTATTCCCCTCTTCTCTTAGGAGGCCATAAGAAAATTGATATGGGAAAACTGGTGGATAAAATACAGTCTATCATAGGTAAGAAGAAAGTTAGCAAATAGATGCAACTGTAATTTCTTTTATAGTAAACTGATTTTGCTTTTCTCTAATTAGACATTTTTGAGAAAACACCAAGTAATAAAAATATACTCAATCGTATGTAAGGATTTTTAATATAAGTTTTAAGATTTAATGGTTTTAAGAGAGAACTTGGGCTTTTTAAACTCTGAAGTTAAAATGTATGCTTCAGTGAAATAATAATTTATATTTAAAGACTGCTCAAGTCAAAGTAAAAACATTTAAGTACAAGAAAAAATTGACAACATATCAGGTCAAAAAGGTGAGAGCCTTCTTCAATTTTTTCTGTTTTTAAAGTTTATATATTTAACTTTATATACATATGCAATGTATTTTGATCACATTCACCTACTACTCCTTCCACTAACTCCTCCCAACTGGATGTCCTGTGAGTCAGTCTGAGGTGCAGCCATGTTCCTGAGTGTGGTTGACAACAGGGTCCTCATCCTTAAAGAAACTGACTCTCTCCACAACTATCAGTGTTCAGAGCTCCTCAGCTAGGAGTGGGGGCTCATGACACTCCCATACTGGAATGTTGATTGGCTTCATCTTGTCCAGACAACTCCGGCTGTTGTGGGTTGATGAGCACAGCTGTCCTGCCGTGTCTGAGGACGCTGTTTACCCTGGTCCTCTCCTGCTACTGGCTCTTGCAATCTTTCAACTCTATGGCTGTCTTTTCAGAGGTGCTCCCCAGGTCATGCAGGGAGCAAGTTATTTTGTTCTCTTAAAACTTTTGAGTAGAGGGAAGTCAGGGATGGTGATGCATCTGAAAGTTCTTTTATGGTACGGGGTTGTTTTACCTATCCTGAGGTTTTTTTCTGTTTTTCCCTATGAAGTTGAGTATTGTTCTTTCAATGTCTGTAAAGAATTGTGTTGGAATTTTAATGGGAGTTTTGTTGAATCCATAGATTGAAGACTTGAAATGGTTGGCTTACATATCTTTCACTTGCTGGATTAGAGTTACACCAAGATACTTTGCTTTATCTGGCTATTGTGAAGGGTGCTCTTTCCCTTATTTTAATCTCAGCTGTTTGCTGTTCGTGTATAGAAAGGCTCCTGTTATTTCTGAGCTAATTTGTATCCAGCCACTTCTCTGAAAGTGTTTAACTGCAGAAGGAGTTCCCTCGCAGATGTTTTGGGGTCATTTGGGTATGTTGTTATATGTCTGTCTGCAAATAGCCATACTTTGACTTCTTCCTTTCCAATTTGTATCCCCTTGATCTCCTTTTGTTGTCTTATTGCTCTAGCTAGAATTTCGAGTACTATATTGAATAGATATGCAGAGAGTAGACAGCCTTGTCTTGTCCCTGACTTTAGTGGAATTGCTTTAAGTTTTTTCTCCATTAAATTTGATGTTGACTACAGGCTTGCTATAAATTGCCGTTATTATGTTTAGGCATGTCACTTGAATCCCTGTTCTCTCCAAGACTCATGAAGGGGTATTGAATTTTGTCAAAGGCTTTCCAGCATCTAATGAGATGATCATGTAGTTTTTTTCTTTCAGTTTGTTTTTATAGTGGGTTATATTGACAGATTTTCATATGTTGAACCATCACTGCATTCCTGGGATGAGACTACTTGATCATTGTGTGTAGTCGGAGGCTGCTTGTTCATTTCCTGGCTGTCCAGACTCAGAATAATCACACAGAAACTATATTAATTGCAATACTGTTTGGATAATAGCTTAAGAATATTTCTAGCTAGCTCTTACATTTTAAAATAACCCATTTCTATTATTTTATATTTTACCATGAGGATTGTGGCCTACCAGTAAGGTTCTGGCTGGCTGTCTCCTTCCGCGGTTACATGGCATCTCTCTGACTCTGTCTACTCTCTCTGTACATCTGTTTGGATTTTCTGCCTGCCTTTACTCTGTTAAGACATTGGCCAAAAGCAGCTTCTTTATTAACCAATGGCAATAAAACATATTAACAGCATAAGAGGGGAATCCCACATCAATGGTGAATGATATTTTTGATGTGTCCTTGGATTTATTGAGAGTTTTTGCATCAGTGTTCATGAGGAAAATTGTTCTGTAATTCTTTGTTGAGTCCTTGTGTAGTTTGGGTATCAGGGTGATTGTGGCCTCACAAAATGGATTCAGCAATGTTCCTTCTGTTTCTATTTTGAAGAATAATTTGAGGACTATTGGTATTAGTTCTTTTTTGAAAGTCTAGTAGAATTCTAAGTTAAACCCATCTATGCCTGGGTTGAGTTTTTTTGTTTTGTTTTGGTTTGGTTTTGGGGGGGGGCGTTGGGAGCCCTTTAATGACTGCTTCTAGTTTCTTGGGGGTTTGTCAGGAACCTTATTTTTGGGGTGACTTCTGTTGCAGTCCTAGCCACAGTGGATTCATACGTTCCAGGGTAGGGGCATAAGGATCAGAAAATTAGGTAGGAGGAAAAGAGATAAGAAAGAAACATAGAGACATAGAATAGTATCAGGAGGGTTACTAAGTGAATACTGAATGCTGAATTTTTCTTCTGCCTTCTGAGTTCTGAGTTCACCCATGTTTAATTTTCCATACATTTTTATAGCCTAATACAAAAAGGGATAAGAAGGCAAAAGACTGCTTTAACATGATACAAAAGACAACTAGAATAGTTACTTGCCCCAATACTTGAGACATCAAGTCAATATTTCTTGAGAAAGGCATTCTGTTGTTTAGGCAGTGAGCCCACCCTAGACCAAGTGTCTTGAAGTCAGCCACTCCCTAGGTCAAACCTCCTGATTCCAAAGAAGGAACAGAGGTATGCTTGAATTCTCTGACCTTTAGTCAGGGTGGAGTGAATCTACCTCTATGGATCATTTTCATGTTCAGAACACCAAATAACCACATCCTAGGTCAGGGTGTGTAGCCACAGTTGTTGTCAACAACTTTAAGCACCCTCAAACTCTATGACCTTCAGACAAGGTGGAATAGGCTCACATTTTTGGGCCTCCACAGGGGTTATAGGTCTATTTATTGTTTATCTGATCTTGATATAATTTTGGTAAGTGATATCTAGCAAGAAAATTGTCTATTTCTTTTAGATTTTCCATTTTTGTGGAATACAGGTTTTTAAAGTATGGCCTAATGATTCTTTGGATTTCTTTGGTATCTGTTGTTATGTCCCCCTTTTGGTTTCTGATTTTGTTAATTTGGCTATTTTCTCTCTGCCTTTTAGTTAGTTTTGGATAAGGATTTGTCTGTTTTGTTGATTTTCTCAAAGAACCAACTCTTTTTTCATTGACTCTTTATATTATTCTCTTTGTTTCTATTTTATTGATTTCAGCCCTGAGTTTGATTATTTCCTGCTGTCCACTCCTCTTGGATGTGTTTTTGTTCTTGAGCTTTTAGGTATGCTGTTAGGCCAGTAGTATGAGATCTCTCTAATCTCTTTATGAAGACACTTAGAGCCATAACTTTCCTCTTAGCACCACTTTCATTGTGATCCATAAGTGTGACTATATTGTGCATTCATTTTCATTGAATCCTAGGAAGATTTTTTTAACTTTCTTTCTTTATTTCTTCCTTGACCCAGTGGTAAATTACTAGAGAGTTATTTAGTTTCCATGAGTTTGTAGGCTTTCTGTTGATTCTGTTGATATTGAAATCCAGTTTTAATCCATGGTAGTCTGATAAGATGCAGGGGGTTATTTTAATTTTCTTGTATATTTTGAGACTACTTTCTGACTGATAATATGGTCAATTTTGGAGAAGGTTCCATGGGATGCTGAGAAGAAGATATATTCTTTTGTATTTTGGTGAAATGTTCTGTAGATATCTGTTAGGTCCACTTGAATCATAAAGTCTGTTCCATTATTTCTATGTTTAGCTTCTGTCTGGATAGCCTGTCCATTGGTGAGAGTGGGGTGATGAAGTCTCCCACTATTAGTGTGTGGGGTTTGATGTGTGATTTAAACATTACTAAATGTTACTTTCACACATATAGGTACCCTTGCATTTGGAGCTTAAATGTTAAAAATTGAGGCATGGTCTTTGTAGATTTTTTTTCCTTTGATGAGTATGAAATGTCCTTCTTTATCTTTTTTGATTAATTTTGATTTGAACTCTATTTTGATGGATATTAGGATATTAACACCAGCTTGTTTCATAGGTCCATTTGCTTGGAAAATCTTTTTCCAAGCTTTTACTCTGAGGTAATGTCTGTCTTTGATGTTGAGATATATTTCTTGTATGCTACAGAAGGATGGATCCTGTTTTCATGTCCATTCTGTTAGCCTGTGTCTTTTTATCAATACATTGAGTCCATTGATATTGAAAAATATTAATGAACAATGATTGTTAATTCCTGTTATTTTGTTGGTGGTGGCGGCGGCAGCAGTGTGTGTGTGTGTGTGTGTGTGTGTGTGTGTGTGTGTGTGTGTTCCTACTTTGGATTTTGCTGGTATGAGATTATCTATTGCATATGTTTTTCTAGGTGTAGTTAACTTCCTTGGACTGGAGTTTTCCTTCTAGTACCTTCTTTAGGACTGGATTTATGAATAAATGTTGATTAAATTTGACTTTGTCATGGAATATGTCATTATCATCTGTAATAACTAAATAATTCTCTCAAATGTCATGTATCTGCAGGAAATGAAATTGATGTCCATGATGTGGATAAAGTTCTTGGAGACATGGGAATAGAAATTACAGACTCAGAACTTTCCAAAATAATGAACAGTGTACCCGTGGATGGTAAGCTCCTCCGCTCAGAATAAAACCCCAAGTGAGGCTTATTGTTAAACTGTGGAAACCTCTAAAATTGTCTCTGCTTACTTGCTTGCCAAATAGTAATTGTCCTATGCCATATCATCTTAAATAATCTCACAGCTCCGTCCAGATATCCAACACTTGATATATAAGACTGTTTGAGCAGCAAGGTGATACCACAAGTGGTATCATGTGATAGATCATAACCAAACATTAGACAACTTAAATGCTTTATAATACTACTCTGAACATAGGATTGTGAACTAATTATGAAATGTGAATTTTATTTTAAATTTGGACCTCATCCTCAAGGCATCTCATTATGCATCTTCAAATATCCACAAATCAGAAAAAAAATCAAAGCACTTCTGCTTCTAAACAGTTGAATAAGGGATGCTAATCTATATGTCTTAAGAGTACTAATGCCTTCTAATCCTTAGTTTGAAAATCAATAATTATATCATCTTCAGGTAAGTTCAGTTGTATTTTTATTAATTTTATTCCATTGAACCATCTAGCATGTAACCAAGAGTATATGTGTTGGAGGAGGCCGCTTGTTGGTTTCCAGCCACCTGGCTAGCTTAGACCCGAAATAATCACATAAAAACTGAATATTTAAATCACTACTTGGCCCATTAGCTCTAACTTCTTATTGGCTAACTCTTACATATTAATTTAATCCATCTCCATTAATCTATGTATCGCCATATGGCTGTGGCTTACTAGGTAAAGTTCTGGCATCTGTCTCCGGCAGGGCTACATGGCATCTCTCTCTCTCCGCCTTCCTTCTCCCAGCATTCAGTCCAGTTTTCCCCACCTACCAAAGTTCTGTCCTATCAACAGGCCAAGGCAGTTTCTTTATTCATTAACCAATAAAAGCATCACATAGACAGAAGGACCTCCCACACCATGCATGAGAAAAAAGAAAGTAGAAGGTGATCTAATAGGAAACTAAGGAGATAAAAGGGAGGAAAAGATGTGTTGTAGCAAGTTAGTGAACTTAGGACATTCCACACATCCTGTATAATTTCATTACTTATTGGGAAATCAGAAAAGCCCGTGACAATTTAAAGGAAAGTCTCTAAAATTACTGGTTCATGAAGCTCCACATTGCTCTTCTGTGATCTGAACAGATCTTTTCCTGCAGATGGGAAAGTCTATATGAGAAGGTTGCTGGACAGTATGCAGTTTTTTAAAGGTAAGAGGGACTCTTAGTCAAGTGGGTGAATCTGAGGCCCCTGTGCTAGCCATTTGTACCATATCCTTGTGGTTAAAGTGTGGATCCTGCCACCTAGAACTCAGATTGCCAGATACGTGTGGGCTTTTTCGTCACCCACCTATGTTTCACCCAGTGGTTTCTTCTGATGTAACTTGGAAAGAGTGTCTCTGCCCTCATGCAGGTTTTTTAGACTTTTAATGGAGGAAGAAAATAATGAAACCAAATTCATACACCATCTGAACATGCTATTGGCATATCAACCAGCTCCATACACCATCTGAACATGCTATCAGCACATCAACTAGCTCCATACACTGTCTGAACATGCTAATATTTTTACTTGAATTGACTTTTAAGTAAAATGCTTCCAAGTTAGACTTGAAACCCAGCATCTTTAATATACTAAAAGTTGGTTATAAATACAACAAGAGCAAAATAAGATTAATTAAAAACATTGAGTGTATGTAACGTTGATGTAACTTTGTGAGGCATCACTGTGTCTCTTCCAACTTTCTCTGGGGTATCTTCTTCACAGAGATGGAAGTGACAAGCTCTAGCTCTCTACTGCATTGGCCCAGTAGCAAAGCCCTCATTCGGTCCTGCTTGTCTGAATGAAAATAACAAACAGAATCCTCAGGAATTAAGTTTTCTCCACAGTTGAAGAACACTAACTTTTGCTTCTCTCTCTCTCTCTCTCTCTCTCTCTCTCTCTCTCTCTCTCTCTCTCTCTCCCCACAGGAGGAAAGGTTGATTCCAGTAGAGTAGACAAGGTTTTGGAAAATAAAGGGATGACTCTCTCTCAAAAGGAGCTTGAAGACCTAATAAAAAACCTGAAAGTTGATGGTGAGAATTTTGACTATTATTGAGCTCTCAGGAAAAATACTAATCATAAAAGCGTATTTTAATAAGTACTTACTTGACATCAAAAAAGCTGTTCTGAAAACTTGGTTCTAAAAAAAGAACATAGCCTGTCTCTGGCCGGCTTCATGCAGATTTTAGACAAAGATTTTAAGCAACATCACCCCTCCCACCATATCTTCCAATTATAACTCATTTTTACTCTACCTTTTTCGTTTTGTTCTGTTTGTTTTTGAGACAGAGTCTCACTCTGTAGAGCAGGCTGGTTTCGAATTCGCAGAGATCCACCTATCTCTGCCTCCTCAGTGTTGGGATTTAAAGGTGTGCAACAGGCTGACTTAAATCTTTTCTTATCTAGAGAAAGTAGGGAGATTTGATAGTGTTACTCAGATTTCAATCCACCCCCTTGGCCATCTTCCTGAGTGGATGGCCTGAGCACTTTTTTTTAAAGGGAGAAGCACTGAGTGTTTATGTCCTTTAGTATAACTAAAGTAAACCCACTCCACATAGCGGCCTTCCAACTCAGCGCCCACGTGTCTGTCTCTTTCTTTCACATGGGTCTCTTGGAGGAAAGTCTAGGGTAGACAGCATGAACTACAGCTTCCTAAACTACGGGTCATGACCTATTAGAAGTGCTGTAAACGAGTGGGAGCTGTAAAAAATGACAACATTAAAAGATTCCCGAAAGCTAGACGGCCAAAACTTAATTCAAAATTAAACACAGAAGGAATCTGAGGTATCCTGAGTGCTCATCCCCACTGCACTGGGCAGCTTCATAGCAGCCTTGGTTGTGAGCACACAGAGGCGCTCAGCACCCTCTGTGTGGTCACACCACACAGCAGCAGTGAAAGCCACCTGTAGTGTTGGCGTGGACTAAGACGACTGTGTGTTGTGAGCTGCAGTGGTTTTGCTGTACGTTCAGTTTCTCAGCCTCCTATGTGGATCTCAGACACGTGCCATCCTGCCTCACCCTGTGTGTGCGCTTCCGTCTTCTGTGTTAAACGATTTTAATACGTGTGAATTGAGAATAGCATATTTCATTTCAATCAACTTATGATTATAAAGGGTTTTTTTTTACTTCCAGTGTTATGTCTTGCTTTACAGACTACTTTGTGCAGTGTTACCAATGTTGCAGATACCTCTGTCCTGCTCACACAGCCTGTCTTTGCCTTCCTTTTCCACATGTTTAAAGGGAACGCTTTATGAATAACTTATAATTGGAGTGATTTTATTGAGTCTCTTGATCTCTGCTTTTCAAATGAAGCTTTTATTACATTTAATGTTATTACCAATACAAACCTATACAATGTGGTTGCTGGGTTTGTCTGAGTGTTCACATCTGTAACCTTAACATCTACCAAGACAGAACATTTCCACTCAGCCGTGAGCTCCCTCGCGCCCTATCCTAAACCATCTCCACCCAACCCAAATGCAGCTGATACTCTGGTTTTTCTCAAACTAGTTCTGCCCACCCAGGACAACATGTAGTGTAGCCACTGTGTGTATTCTTTTATAAAATCTGTCTCTCTTCTTTCTAATACTACACAATAAGAATTAGTGGCCCGAAGCAACTATATTTTGCGATTACAAATTCTGTAGGTGAGAGTCAGATGTGACTTGGTGGGTTTGACTCCTTTCTGGTCTGTGACATCTGAAGTTGGCTTTGGAGCCATTGGCAGACTCATCTCTCATGTGCAGTGTTGATGGCAAACATTGGGTTGAGATTGGGACAGTCTGTTTCTTTCCACCTGAATGCCCATGGCGTTTTAATGCATCAGCTAGTTTGAGCTCACAGCATGGGCAGTGAGATCCAAGTTCAAGCATCCTAATAGACAAGGAGATAGAAACTGCATTCTTTATGTCACATAACCTCGAAAGCCACGTCACACTGCTTTCACCACGTTATTGCCTAAGGAGTTGCCAGGCCCTGCTACATTCCATGTAGCTTCTGGGTGAGGAACGTATCAGCCACATCCCACAAAAGGCATGTGGAGTGAGAGAAATATTTCACGCATGTTACTATCACTAGTGAAGCTGCTGAGGACATGACACTGTATCTTCCCACCTCAATGGTGCTAAGAGTTCTGTTTGTCTTCACTCATTATCAGCGTTCGGTGTTATCAGTTTGGGTTAGCATTAATACTGGGGAGCAAGTGCAGACCCACACCTGCACTAGGGGAAGACCTCACTGCCGAGCTGACCTCCCCAGGCCCTGCTTTCAGATGTGGACTCCTAATCATCCTACCCCCAAATGGCTTTAATTTGAATTTCCCTGATTAATAAAGATACTGAGTACTTCTAAAAGTGCTTATTAGAAATGTTGTGCCTCTTTTCTCCCTGTAGGCGAGAGACAATTTTGCTTTACTTGGTTTCATTTTAAAATGAACTTAAAATTAAGGTTTTTAACTAAGATATGTAGAACTGGCTATTGTTAGAATACATGGTATTCATGCATAAAAGTATTAAAAATAAATAAATAAAAATAAAGAGGTTTTCTCAATGGTCCTATTCATAAACACCAGAAAACTACATCAGGTTACAAAGTACATTTAGGGTATGATCATTTATATGTATGTATGCTTAATTGGTAAGTAATGGTAATTATTACAATTTCATTCAAAACCTAAAATTCTCTGTGTATACTTCATTTAATATGGTCTGGCTAAACTTTTTTTGCTTACTTTAGATTATTTATCTTACACTGCCCTTAAGGTTTCCTTATGCTTGGCACACCAGTCCCACCTCAGGCAGATGTTTGTTCAGTGTTACTATCTGGAATCCATTTCTTCTCTTGAGCAAATAAATACAATTAACTCCTTAGCTCGACACCATTTTCATAGTCTCGTTGTGATGTTTCTGTCCAATTTGTTTTGTGTCTTACAGAAAACCGTAAAACTGAATTTCAAAGGTTCATAAATGAAGCAAAAGTTTTCACAGGTAGGCCATTACTAAGATGTTTTATTTTATTATGTTGTTGTATTTTGCTTGGTCTTCCCCAATATTACATCATAAGTTTATAATTATTTTAAATATTTATAATGAATTTTTTACATCCACTTTACTTCTGCCTTTGATCTTGAATTAGAGTTCAGCCATACTTCACTAATGTTTTAATGCTGGGTCTTAGATCAGCTATTCATTAGTTGAAAGGTTATTCCCTCCCTCCCTCCCTCCCTCCCTCCC